TTAATTAGCAAATTGTTGGAAACGAAAAAACGCGAAACAAAAATATAAAAATGTGAAAAAACTAATGACTTATTCTGTCATTTACTCATTGCCTTCAAAATTCTTTAATTAAATAAAAACTATTTTTTCATCGGATTTAAAAAAGCAAAACGTCGACAATAACACGATAACTAAATTTTAAAAATCAATAAATCGCTACAAAATAAGCACTAAATCTCTACAAAACGATCGATTATTTTACAGAATTTGTTACTTTTTGTGACACAAGTTTTCATTGGTTTCAAATTTGTGACATAAATTGTATTGAATTTGTATGAAATGATAGATTTGTTAAATACTGAATACATTGTGTAATAAAAGAAAGTTTTCGTTTTGATTTCATATCAACTTTCTTTGATAACATGAGACGAAGATATTTTAAAATTTTATTTTATTATTTTATTCATAACCTCGAGGTATAAGAAGTGGTGGGTAAAAAAGTGGTGGCGCTAACTTGGTATAAAATAACCTACTTGATCGCCCACAACTTCTTATACCCCGATGTAATTGTTTAATTGAAGTGAAGACATACGAGGAACTATAGAAACGTCTCTGTTTTTATCACGATTCTCTATGCGATGACCGCCAGCACATTCACCGATCGACAATTTTGAAGTCATCTTCATTAATTTCTGTTTCAATACATAAATACATTAATTATTAATATAATTTTTGTAATAATAAAAGTCACATAAAGCATTTAATACAAATAATTTATAATTTACTACTACTTACCAAAATCTATTGGTTATGAATGCATAATACAATTTATAAATGATTATTAATACAATTATAAATTATAAAATTTATTAAACATAAAAACTTTAATTCAAGGCAATAAATAAGGAAAGAACTCTTTACCTGAAATTCTCGTTGATATTCATTTTGTTTAGTAATTGGATTTTTAATTGATTTGTGTTTCATTTGTTGCGATATCTCACTCGAGAGGAACCATGTTTTGCCGCAAACATAAAACTCCTCAATTGTCTCGTATATAAACTTATATTGTTCCTAATTTTACCATATATTACATTAGATTCAATTAAACAATATTAATGACAATAATATTTCTCACCTCACTTTCAATCATACCTCTGCGAGACTCTCGCAATAGTTTTGTATAATTGTAAACATCGACAAATCCTTCCTCTTCGGCCAGTTGTAGGTTTGCGTCCAAACAAATATAAGCTCCTGTTCTGCCGCAGCCGTCACTAGATTTGTTATTTCATTTTATTATAACATTTTATTGTATTGTTGTAATGATATAATCCAATATAAAAGCAAACAATGGTTTTATAAGTTAGCGAGTAATACCTGCAGTGAACAATCAATGGTCCGGTGTTTATATCACGTAATTCTTCGCAATAAAGTTTCACTCTTTTGCGAAATCTTAATATAGAGTCGGAAAATGGACACGAATTGGCCGACCAGTTGTGGTAATGTAATTGATATATAATCCTATATTCACCGGAATCTGAATCCAGACTTCCGGAGCGCTTTGATTTCAGCATTTCCTAATATATCAATGCATTTATTGTTTGAAAAAATAAATAAACTTATTTATAACTGAAAATGACTACATTTGGTCCAAACTTAAGTTTAATGGTTCGGATGACATAATCGGCGGTCTTCTCCTCATCTATTAAAGTGACCTCAAATTGTCCGTAGATTTCAGACGAGTCGACCGTTTGTGGCCAGTATTGGGCGCACATAACACGTATGAAATCAAACACTTTGGTCAGCATAACGATGATATGGGACTCGCTTTGCCATATCATGGACCAGAAGTCGACTATGGTGAATTCATTGGGTCCCTGAGCACCGATGTATGCGTTCGGCTTTAATATACTCTAATTATAGACAAAAACAAAACGCATAACCGCGTTATAAGCGCCCTTTTATTTAGTTTTAAAATACATTTTAACGCAAAACTAGTCGTAAAACTATTATAAAATTATATAAACTTTATGTTAAAAGTAATCCCATGTTTTTTGTCGGTCGTAAATATTTATTATCAAATTCTGGAGAAATTTATTTTATTGTGTTTTTATGTGATATTTTTAATACATCGAAAGAGAAATACAAAGTTTAACGTGTTTTTGACTTTGAAGTGAAAGTAATGTTTTTGGGCTTAAAATAATTTTTAAATGTAAAGCTTTAAGACTTACGTCAATATGCGATGCGTTTATATAATCAG